TGTTGCTGGTATATGTAGAGTACGTTTTGTGTTTTTTCTTGGTAATAACCAAGAAAAATGGATGAATGAAAGCATCATATTTGCTGTTTGTCTTAAAATGACGATGATGATGATGAAATTATATAAGAATGTAATATGAAAATTTACATATTTGCAACAACAACAACAACAACAACAACAACAACGACAACAACAATGGAATGAAATGGAAAATGTTTTTGTTCACATGATGTGAAATGAAATTTTTTTTTTTTTGATTCATTTTTTTCATTTTCAAACACAACAACAACAACAACATGAATCATTATGAATTATTACGAAAATGAACATTTAAGGTTGAACATTCATTAATGCATGTACCAATCAAAAATGGAACATACACACACACACACACACACACACACATGGGACAATGTTGTGTTTAAATGTCAGAAAAACAAATCAAATCGAAATGAGAAAATCCAATTATTGGTGTATTGAAACATGTGGATAAAGTTAAGTTGCAATTAAGAATTATGAACAACAACAACAACAACAACAAAAATCTGATCATTATCAATCAAATCATCATGAAGATGATTTGTGGACATCACCATCATCATCATATCGCTATCTAGCCAATATGAAATTATTAATCAAGGATTGTTTCATGCCACGGCGGCAATTTTTTCAAGATTTCATCATCAACGATGATGATGACGAAGACGACAAAGCAATTCAATCATCACATCCATTTGTTTCATGATTATTTACAAATTTTTTTTTTTTCGAAATGAAAAAGTTTTCAATTCCATTCAATGCTTCTAATGCTAATTAGTAGAACTAAACATTATCACAATGATGACTGCCACCACCACCACCACCACCACTACTACCACTTGAATATTTGTTTTTGTTTGTTCAGAACAAAAAAAAAAAAGAAAAAATTTTTTTTCTTTTAAATTAAAAGTTCAATTCACTTCAAGAACAAAGAAATGTAAAGATAAATAAATAAATAAGAAGAATATATTCCTCTTGAATTTGATATTTGGCCACTCAACTCAGGTTTATATAATAAATAAATATATGATGGGATTTAGAATGGTTTTTTTTCTCTGCCTAGGCAAATATTCTTTTGATCTAAGAATTTGTTTTTGTTTTTTTTTCTCTGAATTCATGTAAAAGTTTTTTTTTATATTATTCATCGCGAAATCGAAACCAGATATTTAAATTTAAATTTAAAATTCAACAGCAAACAAACAAAACAAAAAGAGAGAGAGAGAGAGAGGAATATAAACAGTGGAAAACACAAAAATCGAATGGAATGATCATCATCGAAATGATTTGATTTTCAATCAACATTTGGTTGTTGTTGTTGTTTTTCCTGGTAAATTGAACCAAAAAAAAAATTGGAAATGGTCACAAGAAGTAAAGTTTCGATTGAATTTATTCAACCATAAATTGTTGTTGTTGTGATAACTTTGAATTTTTGTTTATCGGTTGTTGTTGTTGTTTTTGGCGTGTAAAACTCATCCAAATTGATAATGTGGAAACGATGTGTGTGTGTGTGTGTGTGTGTTCATTTTATTATTATTGCCAAACACAGAAACAAAAAACAAACAACAGCGTTGAACTTTGGAATATAAATTGGAACAAAATGAAGCAAAATAAAAAAAAAAAAAAAAACAAAGTCCAATGAAATCATGCAAGGCTAAAATTACAAATATATGGCTAGAAAGGATTTTGTTTCTGTTTTTTTTCTTTTCAATGGCTCGATTCCACTACTATTCAACCAGAATCAATTTTTTTTTCTATCGCACACACACACACAGCATGTGATTACACCAGCAAAAAGAATAAAAAAACGTTACAATCAGAAATAGAATCGGTGAATCCATACAGAATAATGATGAAAAAAAAAAAAAAAGAAGAAATTTTGCATATTTGTTTCGCCAAAACAACAACAACAACAACAACAAGATGACTAATAATTATTATTGTGGAATTTTGTTTTGATGGAAATAAAAATTTTTCTCCTACATCTCCATAGAAAATGAATTTAAATTAGCTCTCTGTAATATAACGATGATGATGGTGATTATTTCGAGAACCATCAATTTTTTTTTGTCAACCTCAAATTCAACTTGAATTTTAATTTAAAAAATTGTTTTTTTTCCTACGGTGGCCGGTGCATTATTCAATGAATGAATGAATGAATGAACGAAATGACCATCAACAACAATGGAAACAGTGGCTGGTATGAGATGGATGGAAAAATTTTTTTTTCCCATTAAAAAAAAATTTTTCAAAATTCAGTTGCTAGGTTTTCAGCTGAATCAAATAGAATAAAAAAAACAATTAAAAAAATCGAGCAAATTGAAAACAAAAACATAAATGAAAACGACTGTATCGATTCAATTTTTTTTCCATTGAAAAAATTCATTCATTCAGTTGATGTTAGAATGTCCATTGAAATGTGGAAAAAAATTTAAAATTTTCAATAGAAAAAAAACACTTGACCAAAAAAAAGCAATATTGGAAAAAAAGGAAAAACCGTCTCAAAACAAAAACAAAAACAAAATCAACACATATACACACATTTATTTTTAGAATTCATTTTCACCCAGCAAAAAAAAAAAAAAAAAAAAAATCAAAAGATGATTGTGTAAATGTTTACAAAATTCACCAAAACACACACACACACCATGGGCGACACCGCATATATGTGTGTGTGTGTATATATTGCATTTCATTAAACAAAATTTTTTTTTATTCCTGTTTGAATTTTGGTTTTCTGGTTTTTATCCATCATATGATGATGATGATGATGATCAGGAAGATGAAACAAGACACTCCTACACACACACACACACAGTATTCAAGTGTTTATACAGCAAAAGAGAGGGCTAAAAGCATTTCGGGTGTGCGTGTCAACAAATAGTATGGTGTTGTTGTTGTTGTTGGTGAATGAAATGAAATGAAATGAAAGAAAAAAAATCAACCAACCGAATATCCAAGAAATGCCTACACTGCATTTTCATTCTGTGGTAAAGTAGATTAAAGTGAAAACTTTGAAAAAAAAAAAATTTTTACTGTTGTCCATCAAACACACACACACACACATTCATTTGAGAAATAATAAAAAAAAAACTTTCAGAGATATATAAAAAAAAGTGTCATTATAAATAATAAATCAATGAATTTTTATTATGTGATTCATTCATTCGTTCGTTGGTTTGTTCATTTCAAATACATAATTGAAAATGAAAATGGCCGCCAATCATAGAATAAAAGTGAGTGAAATGAAAAAAAAAAATAGATTCAACTGAGAGAAGTGAAAACTTTTTTGTGTATGATGTGGATTTTTATGATGGTCAAACTCATCATTAACCAAAAAAAAAAAAAAAAAAATGAAAATCCGAATCTAATAAGCTCAATGATGATCAAAATTCAATTCAACTAATCAGAAATTCAATTCAACTGGTCAATCACCTCATCATAGATTTTTTGATTTTTTTTTTAATTTCTAAAACGATGACCATATTCAATACAGAATTTCATTTTTTTCAATTCTTTTTTTTAAAAATTTTAAAATACAATTGAAGTCATGGTTGTTTAAAATTCAAAAAAAAAACACACACACACACACACACACTTGTATGATGATGATGATGATGATCCAGTAATTTGTTTTCTTTTTTTTCTTTTCTAAATTCTGGAAAACGCATGGCCAAAGATTCCAGATAGTAGTAGTAGTAGTAGTAGTTTCCGCCGTAGCAGCAGTAGTAGTAATAGTAGCGGTAGTAGTATTGGTTATCCTGAACATAGAACAACAAGATCATCATCATCATCAAAACCATAAAAGTCAGAAACAAAATGATTTCATTTGGTCACTGGTGTCTGTCTGTGTGTCTGTGTGTGTGCAGGTTTTTTTTTTCATTTGGATTTAAATTGAAAATTTGATCATCGAGTCGAGCTTATTATGAACAATTTTTTTTTTCCAAGTTCCATAAAAAATAAATATGAATATATATGTGAAAAATTCAACAACAAAGTCAACATTAATAATAATGATGATGATCAATTTGTTGAACATAAACTAAAACAGAATATTCCGGTTTTTATTTTCTTCATCATTCATTCATTCATTTATTATTATTCTTCACATGTTAAATGTTTATATTGTGTCGTATCCATCATCATCATCATCATCATCATCAACAACATTAACAATATGACAGGCTAATGTTTTTCCTTTTCCGTAATATTAAAAGCCGATTATTATTATTATTATTATTACTCGATCGACGATACACATTTTTTGTTGCCATTATTATTATTATCATCATCACCATAATCATCAATTTTGTTTGTACTTTATTGTTATTATTAATTTTTTTTTCCGGAACGTTTTAATGTCGCTCTCGCTCTCTCATTCGGTGTTTGTGTCGTCGTCGTCGTTGTTTTTTTGTGCATATTTGGTCATACTGATGAATTGAATTCTGATGAATTGCAAATTTGTTAATGTTGTTGTTGTTTTTTTTCTGCCATCGTTGTCGAATAAATACGTTGATTTCTATTATATAGGAGAAATGAAATTTTATTTGGCTATTCCGGCTTTATGCTAGACTGATCTTGGACTTCATTGATGATAATGGTGGTGGTGGTGGTGGTGGTTTGATTTTCTGTTATGTTTAGAAATTATTGATGATTTATTCAACCACAATAGCGACAAAAATCAATGATAATGATGTCAATTTTATCTAATGATATTAATGAAAATAAAAACATTATTAATATGATGATCGGTTTTGGTGAAGATTTAGATGTGGATATAGATGATATCAATATAACATCAATAACGGATCTAAATACATTACCACCACCATTATCATCATCATCATCATCATCGTCATTATATAATTATTATCGTTATCGATCCAATATTGGTATTGGTGGTGGTAGTAGTAGTAGTGGCAGTACTAGTAATAATATCGATACTAGTACAATCAATTTGAATCAATCAAAATCGATGAACATTTCATTAATCGATTCATTGCAAAACTTTACGAATAATTTATCATCAACAATAATGTATCCATTCATGACACCAACATCATATACGACAAACATATCATCATCATCATCATCATCATTATCATCACCATCGATGATGATCAATACAACAATGGCTAAAATGGTGACCACAACTCAAGATGATGATAATAATGGAATTTTCATACCATTATCATCATCGATATCATATCAACATCAACAACAACATCATCATCATCATCATCAACAACAGCAACAGCAACAAGATGAATCAATATCATCATCGATTGCATTGACACCATCAATGAATCTAACATTTACATCCGGTACAATTGATGAATTACAAACAATGGTTGATGAATCAGTATTTTCATTATGGACATTTGAATATATTTCTATTATCATTTTCTATTCATTAATCATATTGGTCGGTCTAACTGGTAATCTACTTGTTTGTCGTGTTGCATTCGGCACAAGACAAATGCGTACGACAACAAATTTATTGATTGCATCACTTGCCTGTTCCGATATCGTTATGATCGGTAAGTTAGATGTTTGTTTTCGTTTTTTTTCTGAATGTGTGTGGGGGGGTGTGGGTGTAGGTGTGGCAAAAACGTTAACTTTTTCACTTTTACTACTCACGGAACGAAAATCATCATCATCATCACCGAATATTTCAAATTCATTTCTATTGTTTTATTTATTTTTAAAATGAAACGAAAATGTATTTGGAAAAAAGCAGAAAACGAATTCTGTTTTTTTTTTACTTAACGCTTGAAACATACACACACGCACAAGACAGAAAAAAAACAAGATTAGAATTCTAAAAAAGATTCGAAAGTCAATTTTTTTATTTTGTTGAAATATAAACAACAACAACAAAAAAGGAAATAAAATGAAATGAAATGAAATTATATTCGAGAAAATAGCAATAGCAACAACAACAACAACAACAACAATTCAACGTGAATTTTCGTTTCGTTTTCATTTTTATTTTCGCTGTGTGTGTGAAATGTACTTTAGAGATGAATGGAAAAATAATAATTTAAATATTGAATGAGCTTGCAGAGTAACAAAAAAAAACTAAACGAATGAATGAACAAACAGTAAAACGATAATGGATAAAATCGAAATTTTTAACTATCAAATGGAGTAAAAAAAAACACCAAAAAAATGTACGAGAATATGAAAGAAAATTCTGGAAAATGAAACTTTTATCATATACAAGAATAAGCAACAACAACAAAAAAACGAAACATTTCATGCACACGCACACAAACCATTAAAAAGCCTTCTGGCCACAGCTCTTTTACATTTTTCAATTTTAAATTGTCAATTGTAACAAAAAAAAATATTCTGTAGGCAAACAATACAAGAATTTTTGGTTTTTTTTCAAATTTTTAAATTTACAAAAACAAAAATTCTTAAAGAATCTTTATTATTATCCTATATAAAATAATAATAACGATAATTGAATGAATCAATGAATTTTATCATCATTATTTATTTATTCGTTGAAGAATCCTGAAGAAAAATCTGTTTCTGGTCGTTGATTCTTATTTATTCAAATTTTTTTTCGATAATGGTACATTATATAGATTTTTACCATTTCCATTCTCTCTCTCTCTCTCTCTGTGTGTGTGTATGTGTTGGTAGAACTGGAAATTTCGAAACTCCAAAAGAAACAAACGATAAAAAAAAGTTCAATTCCAAATCAAATGAATCACATGATTTGTTTGTCTTGTAATATTCTTATCCAATGATTTCACTTTACTTTATTCAATCTTATTTGGTGAATGCGAAAAAAACGATGAATTGAGTACCAGAATTGAGCCAAAGAAACAAAACAAAAAAAAATAGAAAAGAAAAGTACAGATTTTCCAATGAATATCACATATATACACACTTGGAATCAAATAAAACAAAAGAAGAAATCTTCAAGAATATAATCTGGTTGTTTGTATTTTTCTTTTTTTTCTGGTAAACATCATCATCATCATCATCTGAAAATGATATGTTTTTAATTCGCACACTCTATTTCGACACTATATCTATACACTTACTCACACACCACCAATCAAATTAATATATATATATTTGAATTGAAGAGAAAATTTCGAAAAAAAACTCGACTCACCAGAAAAAAAACTTTGCGAATCAAAAGTTTTTTTTCAGTGGAAAAAAAGTGGGATGTGTTTCCAGAATCAGTGAAGAGAACGAACAAAAAAAAAATCATATCATCAATTGATCGATTGATGAAAATTGAAAAAAAAATATTCTGTACACTCAATCTTTCCATTGGATTCAATTGAATTCCATTCTCTATATCGATATCAATTGAGATTCATCATCATAAAATTTTTATTTGATTGGATACACGATTCTCATCCGGTGCCCCAAATCATCATCATCATCATCAACATCTTGAGATAGATGATGTGGCAACAACAATGTTTATATAATGAATAAACATCATTTTTTTTCTGCATCGTTTTTCAATGTGTGTTTCTTATGAATGTCCCTAACACAGTAACAGAAAACGATAATGAAATGAATGAATTAAACCATAAATATAAAATGAATTGAATGAATCGAATGATAATGATGAACCATAATAACAAACATTGAACAAACAAACAGTGGAAAAAATGATGATGATAACAATGATGGAAAAAATATGTATTCATTGATGATTGAATCTATTATTATTTTTTTTTTCTCGAATCTCTTCTACAAAGAATAGATTGCATTTGAAATTTGTAGCGCATACGCAAACATTATAATTGAAAGTCAATATATACAAAAAAACCCATCTGCCCACCTACACACACACACACACACAGTAAATGGGATGACGATTTCGATTAAAAAGTCATATATTCCCCCACAACACCACCAGCACCACCATCACTTTCAAATGTTTTTAGTGGTTTTCAATTCCACTATCGATTCAATTCAATTCAATTTGATTTGGGCAATTTTTGAAATTTCATAGAAAAAAAAACGAAAAGATAAAACCTCAGGCAAACACACATACACACATACACACACATCCACCACCAGAAACAGGAATAATTTATGATCATCATCATAAATAAGAAGAATTCTGACAATTTTTTTTCGCCATTCTTTCTCTCATATTATATTAATGGAAAAAAGAATTCTGTATAGCGGAAAAAATTATAATTGTAGAATAGTGATTCTACGGAACAAAACGACAACGACAAAGACGACGACGATGATGATGATGATGATGATGTTTGAAAAAAAACGAATTAACGATAAACAAAGCTAATTGAATCAAATAAGTGAATGACCACCACAACCACCACCAACAACAACAACAACAACAACAACAAAAAATCGATAGAACCAGAAAAAAAGATTTTCATTTTATTATATCTTGATTAAAACAAACCAAAACCAATATGCAAATAATAATGTAAAACAAAAAAAAAATCGATATTTTCTTCATGTGTGTGTGTGTGATTATTATTGATTGAAAGAATTTTCACTGATCAAATTTCGATCAAGAATCATATATATATAGACATCAAATACAGTGAGGCAAAAAAAATACCAGAATTTTATCGTTTTCTTGTTACTAAATATATCATGTGTTATTTATCATCATTCCACAAATTCTTTTTTCTTATTATTCCATTCATTCGCACATACCACACATTTACGAAATTCCAACTCAAATGATGATGATAAAGATAGATAAATCAGATGAAAATTTTCACCAAAAAAAAAGTTCTGATAAAACTTGAACATCATGATCATTAATTAGTTAATTAAAAAAAAAATTTTTGAATTTATTCAATTCAATATAAAGTTGATGGGAAAAAAATTCATCATTATCATCATCATCGTTTTTTTTCTGTGCCATTAGAAATGTCCATAAATTAAGACAATTTCTTATCTCTCTCCCTCAAAAACAAAAACACAAAAAAAGAAATTAAATTTCTATATACCAGAATATTTTTTGTGGCAATATCGAATATACTTCATCGATCAATCCGTTGTTTGTCTGTTATTCTGTGTTTGACAATAAATTGTGGAAAAATATCTCTCTCTCTCTCTCTTATCATATGGGCCATCCGCATACTTGTCTTTTGTTTTTGTTTTTTCTGTTTTTTTTCAAGAATACCTTACAAGATAAGATAAGAGGCTATTGTGAACAACAACAACAACAACAACAAAACAACAATAATGGTAACCATTAATCAAACATTTCAATACAATTGATTGATTGTATTTTTTTTTTGTTCTACTCATTTTCAATCTGTTAATAATAAATAATAATGGTTCTGAAGATGATTACAACATATATATACATAGGTCTTACATCTGTTTTTTGTTTGTTTCTTTGTTTCTTTGTTTGTTATATAACATAAAATACAAAATTTCACGATACGTCCACAATAAAAAAAAACAGAATAACACACAGAGAAGAAAAAAAAAAAATCAATAAAATCAATGAACTCATATAGTAGCATAATTGCAGGATTCATTGGCCACTGGTCATCATGGAAACAAAACCAATGAATGCAAAAAAATAACGAAATGTTCTATTTACTGGATTTTTAACGCCCATCTCAATTCTTGAATTTGGATAAAGTACCATACCATCATTGGTATGAGTCAATATAAAGAATGTCTCATTGCTATGGAATGTGACCGTTGTTTATCGATCCCAAATTCGACTATAAGCCGAAAAATAAGTGGCTTAACCAAAGAACAGAAGATTGGTATAAACAGTAGCAAAAATTTAATCAAATCATCGCTGAACTCTATGGACCGTGAAACAGTGATAAACTGTGAAACGCCATTAGAGATGATAAAAAGTAAATTGGAATACAAATATCGATCCTCACATACGCGAAACGTTTTTGATCTCTTTAGACAAAACCACAAGATCAAATTTGAAGGCGATATATCAAAATTATTCTCAGAGGTGAAAAGAAATTCGTTACAATTAGCCGAAAAGAACCTAAAACTACCAGATTCGTGCATTGTGGCAAAAATTATTGATGTCCTGCCCAATGAATACAAAGACATATGCAATCAAGTTGAATTGCTCAATATTAAAGATGAATCTAGCATTACAATGGCATCTATCTGAATCACCATGTGATGTCTTTGAATCTATGCTCCCGTTGATGACTCCGTCGTGAACGTGAGCTTAAAGATAATGAATCCGAATCTACTGGTGTCACCTTGGTAACAACCAAAAACAGGAAGAAGTCCAATTTGAAATGCAATTTTGTGGCCTGAATAATCACCTTGAAAAAGATTTCAGAATCATTACCGTAAAATCCGTCGAAATCTAAAATCAAAACGACCGTTTTATCGACAATCTAATCAGCAAGCGAAAAAAAAGCATGATAAAACAACAATGACGATGATAACAATTTAGATGTTGCCACTACCGCAATGTTAGCTGCATCATTGGTTGCTACAAACAGTCAATCTCCAAAATTTTTGGCCGATACTGGAGCTAGCTATCACATTGTCAACGATAAAAGCTTATTGGTGA